CTCAGTGACTGGGTTATGTTGTTCAGTGACTGGGTTATGTTGAACAGTGACTGGGTTATGTTGTTCAGTGACAGGGTTATGTTCCTCAGTGACTGGGTTATGTTAAACAGTGACTGGGTTATGTTTTGAGTGACTGGGTTATGCTGTTGAGAGACTGGGTTATGTTGTTCTGTGACTGGGTTATGTTGAACATGACTGGGTTATGTTAAACAGTGACTGGCTTGTGTTAAACAGTGACTGGGTTATGTTGTTCAGTGACTGGGTTATATTAAACAGTGACTGGGTTAGGTTAAACAGTGACTGGGTTATGTTGTATAGTGACTGGGTTATGTTAAACAGTGACTGGGTTATGTTGTTCAGTGACTGGGTTATGTTGAACAGTGACTGGGTTATGTTGTTCAGTGACTGGTTTATGTTCCTCAGTGACTGGGTTATGTTGAACAGTGACTGGGTTATGTTGTTCAGTGACTGGGTGATGTTAAACAGTGACTGGGTTATGTGGAACAGTGGCTGGGTTATGTTAAACAGTGACTGGGTTATGTTAAACAGTGACTGGCTTATGTTAAACAGTGACTGGGTTATGTTCCTCAGTGACTGGGTTATGTTAAACAGTGACTGGGTTATGTTGTTCAGTGACTTGGTTATATTAAACAGTGACTGGGTTACGTTAAACAGTGACTGGGTTATGTTGTATAGTGACTGGGTTATGTTGAACAGTGACTGGGTTAAGTTAAACAGTGACTGGGTTATGTTGAACAGTGACTGGGTTATGTTAAACAGTGACTGGGTTATGTTAAACAGTGACTGGGTTATGTTGAACAGTGACTGGGTTATGTTAAACAGTGACTGGGTTATGTTGTTCAGTGACTGGATTTTGTTTAACAGTGACTGGGTTATGTTAAACAGTGACATGGTTATGTTGTTCAGTGACTTGGTTATATTAAACAGTGACTGGGTTATGTTAAACAGTGACTGGGTTATGTTTTGAGTGACTGGGTTATGTTCCTCAGTGACTGGGTTATGTTGAACAGTGACTGGGTTATGTTGTTCAATGACTGGGTTATGTTGAACAGTGACTAGGTTATGTTAAACAGTGACTGGGTTATGTTGAACAGTGACTGGGTTATGTTAAACAGTGACTAGGTTATGTTGTTCAGTGACTGGGTTATGTTGAACAGTGACTGGGTTATGTTGTTCAGTGACTGGGTTATGTTCCTCAGTGACTGGGTTATGGTGTTCAGTGACTGGGTTATGTTGTTCAGTGACTGGGTTATGTTGTTCAGTGACTGGGTTATGTTCCTTAGTGACTGGGTTATGTTGAACAGTGACTGGGTTTTGTTGTTCAGTGACTGGGTTATGTTACACAGTGACTGGGTTATGTTGTTTAGTGACTGGGTTATGTTCCTCAGTGACCGGGTTATGTTGAACAGTGACTGGGTTATGTTAAACAGTGACTGGGTTATGTTGTTCAGTGACTGGGTTATGTTGTTCAGTGACTGGGTTATGTTAAACAGTGACATGGTTATGTTGTTCAGTGACTGGGTATGTTATTCAGTGAGTGGGTTATGAAGTACAGTGACTGGGTATGTTAAATAGTGACTGGGTTATGTTCCTTAGTGACTGGGTTATGTTAAAACAGTGACTGGGTTATGTTACACAGTGACTGGGTTATGATGTTCAGTGACTGGGTGATGTTAAACAGTGGCTGGGTTATGTTGTTCAGTGACTGGGTTATGTTAAACAGTGACTGGGTTATGTTCCTCAGTGACTGTCTTATGTTAAACAGTGACTGGGTTATGTTGAACAGTGACTGGGTTATGTTGTTCAGTGACTGGGTTATGTTAAACAGTGACTGGGTTATGTTGTTCAGTGACTGGGTTATGTTGAACAGTGACTGGGTTATGTTAAACAGTGACTGGGTTCTGTTGAACAGTGACTGGGTTCTGTTGTTCAGTGACTGGGTTATGTTACACAGTGACTGGGTTATGCTGTTCAGTGACTGGGTTATGTTCCTCAGTGACTGGGTTATGGTGTTCAGTGACTGGGTTATGTTAAAAAGTGACTGGGTTATGTTGTTCAGTGACTGGGTTATGTTGAACAGTGACTGGGTTATGTTCCTTAGTGACTGGGTTATGTTAAACAGTGACTGGGTTTTGTTGTTCAGTGACTGGGTTATGTTACACAGTGACTGGGTTATGTTGTTTAGTGACTTGGTTATGTTCCTCAGTGACTGGGTTATGTTGTTCAGTGACTGGGTTATGTTAAAAAGAGACTGGGTTATGTTGTTCAGTGACTGGGTTATGTTGAACAGTGACTGGGTTATGTTAAGCAGTGACTGGGTTATGTTAAACAGTGACTGGGTTATGTTAAACAGTGACTGGGTTATGTTGTTCAGTGACTGAGTTATGTTAAACAGTGACTGGGTTATGTTCCTCAGTGACTGGTTTATGTTGTTCAGTAACTGGGTTATGTTGTTCCGTGACTGGGTTATGTTGTTCAGTGACTGGGTTATGTTGAACAGTGACTGGGTTATGTTGAACAGTGACTGGGTTATGTTCCTCAGTGTACAGTGACTGGGTTATGTTTCTCTCTGGGTTATGTTGTTGAGAGACTGGGTTATGTTGCTCGGTGACTGGGTAATGATTTTCAGTGACTGGGTTATGTTATTCAGGGACTGGGATTTGGTTCTCAGTAACTGGGTTATATTTTTCAGTGACTGGGTTATGCTGTTGAGAGACTGGGTTATTTTGAACTGTGACTGGGTTAGGTTTCCCAGTGACTGGGTTATGTTGTTCAGTGACTGGGTTTTGTTTAAAAGTGACTGGGTTTTGTTAAACAGTGACTGGGTTATGTTGTTTCATTTATTAATAAGCTCGCAATTGAGAAAGAAAAAGAAAAAAAGAGAAAGAAAAGCTAGAACAGTGCAGTTTTGAGGGATTCACTTGTAACATATTGAAGTGATTGCCAAAAAAAGTTAAAATATAACAACCCATTTTTGTCAGAAAGTTTTATAGTCAGTAAGTTTTCTATCATCTTTTACAGTGAATTTCAAAGCTGTAAAATAGGATTTAAATAAATTTAGAAAACCATGAATATCTACTAAATTATGTGTGTTCTTTATCTCACAGTTGAACAGTGAATTGGTTATGATTGATTGGGTATAATATGTTGAACAGTGACTAGGTTAGGTTTTCCAGTGACTGAGTAAAGTGTCACAGTGACTAGGTTATGTTGTTCAAAGACTAGATTATATTGGTTTGTAACTGGGAAATTTTTTTCTGTGACCTAATGGCTATAAACCAGGGTCATATTTCTTGTAAAACTGCAAGTCAACAAGTTAGGGATTTTTTTTTCACTGTACGTGATTGTCTTTATGGGCGGGATTCCTTTTACCCTCGGAAGATTAGCGTAAGAAATAATTATTGAGAAATTCAAGTGCTGTGCATACACACATGCTAACTAGGTCACTAGTTCTACCAGTGGCTAACAGGCCATGAAAACGCAATCTATTAATTTATCATGTTATAACTATTAAATACCCCAACCTTCATGAAAGTCGTTCATTCGCCTGAATGACCTAATATTAAGACTCCGATTATGGCTATTGATCGTATTATTTGCCACACACCATAGTGTTTACAAAACTATATTGCATCGGGATCGAATATGCGTTATATTACAAAAAACCATACCGGAAATAATTTTCCCGAAAACCGTGACTGGGTTATGTTATAGACTCTACCATGTTAATGATGGTCAACATGTCACCTTTTAGAATGAATGAACTTGTAATCAATGAACTTGTCCAGAGATGCATTGACGGCCGTTGTTAAACGCAAAGGAAAGCGCGAGATCGGTTGCGGCTATGGAGCATCACTGAATATTCCTTCGTCATAGGAAAGAATCCGACATTTAACACTTAATATAGATTTTGAATATACAGATGTTTTGAAGATAAACTTAGTATATTTTCGTGTTTTTAAACTGAGTAGATCGATGACCTAGTCTCGTTTTAGATAACTCAGCCCCTCTAGCCCAATTTAGGGCTTGAGTAAAAAACCTGCACTTCTTATGAAACTGGTGTATAGTTCTAAACTTCTTCATTTCCGTAGCAAATACTGATACCCAGTCTACGTGATCTAAGCGTCTCTAGCAAACGGTGCACACACCTGTGCTTGCAAGACCAAATAGCCTAGGTCGTCTACACACGTGCGAAGATCCTTTCAGACGAGCTCGGAACATTACGTTGCTTTGCCGAGAGGTTACGATTGCAGGTGTTTAACCATAATAACCATTCCGTTATTCATTAAAAGAGAGAAAAAAACACACAGTTAATGATTAACATATCCATTCAAAAGAAATTATAAGGCAATGAACTAACAATAATAATGACAGTAATATAACTGGTGAAAAGATTTATCATTATCAATCGAAGTATGACCTATATATTTTCGGGAAAAAGACTGAGGAGGCAGCGAGCGTAGGAATATGAAAATTTTTTATTTGCTTTTCCGGGGAAAAGGTGATTTTTCTTAAAATCTTTTTACGTTAATTTTGTTTTCTTTAACGTATGAAATATACATCATTATTCTTAACATTTGTTGTAATCTTGTATCTACTGATCATGAATGGAACTATTTTCGTCGGAGCAATTGTGTGAAGAGTACCTGACTTTAGTAATATATCTTGAATAGATAATATGCACTGATCGAATATATTAAAAAATGTATATATGTTCGGGAAAAATCCCCCTCCCCCTACCCCATGCCTGTTTCTATTATAATGAAAGCCACTCTATTCAATTCATTTTATTGACAACACCGGCATAGTCAATCAGCAGAATACAACAAACAATGAACAAAGACTAGCATTTTTTAAAGTGCTACATGTACGAATTGTGAGAAAAGGATTTTGTCTATGGTATGAGTTAACGAAATTTAAACGCCACCTTTGGCTCACTTGAACGTTTAAAAAATGGGAAATTGATAAAGATATTGAAAGGGAATATGAGATACTGATCAAATATTTGTTAACGACCGATGCGAACTTGTTTGCTGTAAGAATGTCAGACGAAAAACGTCGAGGAGAAGATGTGGAAGATGGAGGTCCTGGTCTTGTGTACATGCCATTTGTTACAATGGAGGAAATTCTCGACAAACTTAGACTTCTTGATTATGAGAGGGAATTTCAAATGAAGCTGAAAATGAAACCAATTTCGAGGCATTATTTTGCTATTCCTACTAACCCAGGGGAACAGTTCTTCATGTTTACATCCATATGTGCGTGGCTTCTTCAAAAAGCAGGACGAAATTTTGAACAACCACAAGAATATGATGATCCAAATGCCACAATTTCCAGTATTTTAGAAGAACTGCGTCACTTTGGTCACTCGGTAGACTTTCCTCCATCAAAATTAAAACAGGGTTGTGGTGAACATTGTATTTATGTACTTGATAAACTAGCCGACGAAGCCCTGAAATCTTCAGGATTTCACTGGCAAAGGCCGGAGTACCCAGAGGAAGAGTTGGAAGAGGAGAATATTGTAGAAGATGATGCTGAACTCACGCTTAATGAAGTGGAAAAATCCATCTTCCAGAATGAAATGGAAGAAGAAGAATTTGAGGAGGAAGAGCAAATATTGGATTTAGAAGGACTGAAGAGACTGAGTCAGAAGAATCAACAAGTGGAACATTCAAAACCAGAAGAAATCATGGAATCAACAACTGATGCTGCTGCATGGAAACTTGAAGTTGAAAGGGTCTTACCTCAGTTGAAAGTTACCATCCGTAAAGATAACAAGGACTGGAGGGACCATGTTGAGCAAATGCATCAACACAAAGATGGTATTGAATCTTCACTTACAGAGACAAAATCGTATCTTGACAAACTTCATGACGAAATAGCCAGAACACTTGAAAAAATCGGAAGTCGAGAGAAGTACATAAATAATCAGCTGGAACATTTACTTGCAGAATATCGTGCTGCACAAGATCAGCTCTCAGAAACAAAGGAAAGGTAAAGGATGTAATGTAATATAACATATCAATTTTCAAAAAAAAAAAAAAAATACTGAAGAACATCACATTTGAGCCAAGAATTGTATTTGTCACTATGTTTAAAAGTCCATGTCAAAAGATATGAGTTCATATTTGGTGTTTATTAAGTTTTTAAAATTTTAATTGAGATTAATTATTTATTGTTGCTTAGATTTGTATTTCTTCAATCTTGAAAGTGAATGTTTATATACACAAAAATTGAAGTTGTATATAAATTTTTATACAGTTAATAATAAATATTGATATGTTTATTGAACCAATAATCTTTACATGATGTCGTGTCCAAAAATACTACAAATAATGCAGTGTATTTTAAGAGTAGATCATATTACTAATCAATACCATTCTATCATAACAGGTACCGACAGGCCAGTGGGGGAGTCACAGAGCGATCTCGCATGCTGGCGGACGTTACAGAAGAACTAGAACGCATCAAGATGGAGATGGAAGACAGAGGCAGTAGCATGACAGATGGCGCTCCACTGGTAAAGATCAAGCAGGCCATCCAGAACCTCAGGAAAGAGAATGTCCAGATGGAAATCCGAATTGGAGTAGTGGAACATGTTCTCCTCCAGGCCAAACTTAAAGATAAAACCTCCCAGAATAAAGAGGTTCATAGTAACAAAACACAGGATACATTTGACTATAATGCCTATTGAATCTCTTGAGACTTAGGCTAAGTTGTTGAATATATGTGATAGTTTATTCCATCCATTTTTATATTGTGAGATTTTTCTTTTAAGATTTATTTGATCAATGTAAAGGAAGATAATTATTTTTTTTTTATAACACAAGATCTGATAAACACTAAAAGTGTCTTAGTGCTGTAAAATGATATGTAATTTGTATACAGGTATTTCTTATTAAATTAATTGTGACTCTGCATATTTTGTTGAATTTTTATCATTAAACTAAACTACCTTTCACAAATTTCATTCACGGAAAATGGTGAGAAAGCATGTTTAGTTGGTAAATTTCTGCTTACAGATAGATAGATTCTCTATTTCCAAATCATGTATGCTGGACAGATGCAAAAAAAATATATTGTAGTGTTATTTTCAGTTTTTTATAAAATTTATCATTTATTTAAAAAAGTAATAAAATTTAAAAGAATCTTTACACTAATAATTTTAGCTAAAGAAATGGTAAATAGATGTTTATTATCTGCTGATATTTGCTAATTCACCCCTTTGGTCCTGTTTAGATGATGTTATCATTCACATATTTCTTCCTACTCATATTCCACTATAGACTCTGAAAGCAGAAGTATAAACTTTCATAAATCTAGAAGTAACTATATATATATCATGTTTTTCATACATTTTGTATATATACAAAAATTCCAAATACACATACCCCCTCCCTCCACCCCACCCCCCTAAAAAAAAACAAAAAAAAAAAAAACAAAAAATAAACAACAACAACAACAACTAGTAGACTAATTGTTCTCGAACAATTAGAGGTCTTTCCACCTTCTTTAAATTTCATATATTCTTCGTATTTAACTCTCTACTGTTTATATTTTTTACAAGAGAAACCAGATATTGCTTGAAAAATGGAAAAAATGAAAATTTTAAAAATTTCGAAATGACCTTGACCTTTGACCTTGAATAAATATTAAAGGTCAAAGGTCAAGGGTCACATTGCACTTGCCCCCATGCTTCTACGACTTTTGGTTTTAAAGTTATAAGGTTTAATAGTAAGTGCAAAGACATTAAAGGGCAATAACTCATATAAGGGGTCATCGGACCCTTTCGCACTGAATAGATCGAAGTTGTGTCTAAAGACCCTGAAGACATCAGTGAAGGTTTGATGTCTTTACGGTCTACGGTTTTGGAGGAGTAGCGATAACAAGATTTTTAATGAAAAGGGCAATAACTTTTAAAGGGGTCAAACTTTGGGAACAAGTATGAAATATTTGAAATAGTTTTAAGAGGACATATTAAAGATGCAAAGATATATAGTATATGTTGAAAGACAACAAAGATATAAAAAGAGCTTAATTTCTCATTTTTGGAATGACCTTGACCTTTGACCTTTGCATATATTTTAAGGTCAAAGGTCAATTAATCTTATGCAGTTGGTTCCATGTCTCTACGACTTATCGTTTTGAAAATTTTTAATTATTTGTAAATATCAAAAACTTTCAGGGGCAATAACTCATAAAAGGGGTCCAGGAATACTTTCGCAATGAAAAGATTGAAGAGTCCCCTCAATTAGTCGAAGACATTGGTGAAGGTTTCGTACCTCTACGGTTTATGGTTTCGAAGGAGTAGCGATAACAAGGTTTTTCGTACAAGGGGCAAGAACTCCGAAAGGGGTCATAGGTCATACTCGTTGGGTAGTTTTTCGAAATAACTTTTGATGTCAAGTATCATGAACTATAAAGTTATTCGATAAGTCTTTCGGTTCAAAAGGCCGTAGCGGAAAAATAATAATAATAATAATAATAAACAGAAGCATTTCAAGAGGTCTTTCCACAGAAAGGTGGAAAGACCTAATCAAATAAACAAAGACACAAGCAGGGGAAAAACAAAACAGACAACCACCCAAAATCAAGACCCCCCCCTAAAAAAAATCAAAATAAAAGGAAAGAACCGAATAATAATAATGCAATTGAAATAAATAAATAAATAAATAAAGGCAAAAAACAAAAACAAAAACGAAACACCCCCAATAAAAATAAACAAACAAAACAAAATCAACTATATAGGGAAAGAAACAAGTAAAAAAAAATAATTAAAAAAAAAACCTACACTAACACACAAAACAAAACAGGAAAGGGAAGAAAGAAAAATTATAAAACAGAAATACACGTATGCGCGTCTTTTTTCTGCATGTCATTGATCTGTTTTACGATTGCAGTTATCTCCAACTGTACTGTTTTTGTTTTCCTTCGCAACATGTACTAATTTAAATTTAAAATCTGGTAGTGTGACATTGGAAAGAAAATGTAAAACTATACGTGTACTTCTCTTCAGTAATTGATTTAAATTATATTTCAACATTTATATACTGCAAAAGTTTTTTTTTCTGTGTGAATTTTAAACTGAGAGTTTTGCATTTACAATATTACATTTACAATATTATTCTCCTAACGGCACGAGTAAGCTTAACCTATTTAGGCGGTAGCGAATTTGGAACATATATTTCTAATGACATATAGATTGGTGTAAGCTGGTTCCTCTTAAAAGCCGAAAGGTCGTGATTCCTTCAAATATCACCGAACTAGAATGAAAAACCAACCTATATCATCAAGGTCGACCACATGTCAAAAATCAATTCAATATAGACACTAAGTATTCGGGGGGGGGGGGGGGGCTTTTTCCCAAACATATTAACCTTTTACTGTTGAAAATATTCATTGAAAGGCTGTCCCCCCCCCCCCCATCGTCGCAAACCACGGTCAAAATGTATGAATAAAATTTAGTTGTGAAAGAAGTTGGAACCCACCCACCCCCACCCCCACCCCCCACAAAAGAGGAATGTCGAATTCGACAATTTTCCTTTCCCTTTTTTTTTTGCTTGACAAACTTGTTTCTGTAATTCGTCATATTTTTTGGCTGCCCCCTTCAAAAACGATGCCTCGTGTCTCCAGTATCTGCAAGCTTGTAGGAAAAAAATCCGGAAAACCAAATGGGGAAGACTGACTGACAGACAGAGTGGCAAACAGACACTGTCAGACAGATCGACAGTCGGAGAGAATCGAAATCTATATAGTTCCCTCAGGTTTCATAGTATAGGGGACTTATAAAAACTAAAATATAGTTTCTTAGTCTGCTGTCAGGCACGTAGCAACTTTTTTTTAATGAGGGGAGGGGGAAATAATTGACAAGATACCAGAAAAAATTTGACAATATTAAAAAAGTTTAGAAAAGAACCAAATTTGAAAAAAAAACTAATTACATGTAGGTGGGGGTTGCAGGGTTAAACCTTTTTTCTCTTTTTGACAAGAAACATCAAAGACAGTATAGTACTAAAACAAAAAGTATGTACATGTATGTCGGGGGGGGGGGGGAGGGGGCAGGCCTGTCAATGAAAATTTCTATTTTTAATTAACAATAAAAAGGCACGTACCATGGGGGAGAAGTTCAGCCCCCACCCCCATCCAACCCGTTTCTATTGCCTGGCCTTAATAAACAATTTTTTAGAAATGTGTGCTTTTCTTTTTTGGCCACAATGAATCTAAACCATTAAATCTCTAGCAATGTACAGAAATATGTTTGAACACGGATAGGATTTTTTGAAAAAAAGGTTTCAAGCATCACAAAATAAAGTGCACGTGATCGTCCACAAAGTTTCACTCCTTCGTTGAAAGGGGACTTATGTACACCTTTCAGGTCTTTCGATCATAAATATTCGTAAAATCTTTCTTAACAAACTCATGAAACGCATGCATGAAACTGATTAGTCTGCGAAATATATTACATCCTAAAGTGCCAATTTGCCTTGGGGTTGGGGGTTGGTGGTAGGGGGAAGGTGGTGAGAAAGTCCTGTATCTTCTGTGTACATTAGAATTAAAGTTCTAGTCTTTGAAACTTAAAGTCTGATAAAAAGTTTTCATTTCTTTTTTTTAACTCAAACATACATATTATTTTTACTTACTTTAATTACAATCAGTCACCACAGCGATCGATGAAAATATATATGTCAGTGTGATAAAAATATTGTAATTAATGTACATATGTAATTAGGATATGGAGATATTTAATTTCCTTTTATTCTTTTATATATGTCCTGCAGATAACACAGATATATACACATCGTACCAAAATACACTGTATGACCTATTAATATGTATATTATTTAGCACCATATGATTCTATATATAGTTTTTTTTAAATTGTAATTCATGTGTGACCAAAACTGTCGGGCAGTCAGAAAAAAGGAATCTGTTAATATAAACCAGCTGCCATACCTAACCAAAGAGTTGAGCGACAACTTGTTTCAAGGCAAGCTGTTCTTCAGTTTAACTTACATTTTTATTTCTTAAAAACCCATTCTAAACTATTTGGGTCAAGTTCTATATTTTCAATGTCGCTTCCGGGTATATATCTTTTACGTAAACAAAGGTGAAATGCAAATGTATTTAAAAGTTATGATATGTACATTGAAGGCATTTTCAATATATTCAGTTTAAAAGATTTCATCATGTAGCACTGAGTTCAATTGCATTTCATGTTTTCAAAGTAGATTATATTACCTTTGTACATCATCAATTGGAGCTGTGAAAAAGAAAAAAATTACAAGTACAATGTATATTTTAAAGTTTCTCATTGACAGGAGAAATGGATGTCATTTTACAGCTTGTTATAGTGACAGTTTGGTATTCCCGTGTAATCAGCACAGAAATTGAAAATTCAACTATCACGTGTAAGTTTTCAACAGTAACACAGAAGATTTCGTTTTTTGCTTGTCAGAACCTTGGAAAGTTATCGAGTTTATGGTACCTTACTTGCTTACTGAAAGTATGTATATTATTCTCATTACCAACGTACAACTTACAAGGGGATTTCCAAAGGTGGGCCCATGGCCATTTTTTTTGATTTTGATTTTTTTGTTCATCTCTTATTTAATCTGATCTGCAAAAAAAGTGTGGTTCCACCCCGCATCCGCCCTTGAATATATATATATTGGTACTATTTGTAGCTTACACGTGTTTTGCAAAACGTTATTAATAATATTGTAAGCATCGAGCATATAGAGAAATCTTCTGAACTACTGAGAGAGAGAGAGAGAGAGAATGCGTCATGGGACTTTTTCAGTTTAAATGTAATATTACACAGTTTGCTGCCTGTAATTTTGTTTTCCTTTCAGAAGAATTAAAAATACACTGTAAAAATTAAAGTTATCAGCAGGTAGTATCTTTTCTATACACTTTATAATGTTGTTTCATGATGTATAATACATGTACGTCAATAAATACATCTACAAGAGAAACAAGGCCAGAAAATCTGGGAAATGTCAAAAATGTTTTACTAATTAACAATCTGATTAAAATCAGATCCTTTGATCCACTCACAGAGATCGCTAGAAACCCCATTCAGGGTCATCTCCAGGTGACCTTTCAATTATCCAATCAAACGTTTGCTTCCAAGAATTTAGAAGTATCTCGGAATTCAGTTATAGTTAATGTGCTGCTTAATTAATGCTTAAAAGTTACATTTATAAGTGTATTTGGCCAATAGCACAGTGGTATGTGACCCATATTTGACGTTGGACCGATAATTTTGGGTTCGATCCTCACATGGGGTTTTAAGTTTTTGAAAAATAACAATTAAATCGTTTGTCATTTGTTTAATTATTGATTTATTAGATTTGAAATAAAGTAAATTTTGATTGTGTCATTGTAAGCAAGAAGAAATATATTTCTACCCACTGAAAATCGACACATTTGCATTTACCTACATGTATATCCTATTAACTAACAGTTGTTTACTTATTATGTAAATGCTACATGTAGTTTGATAATAGATAAATATATCAGTTCTTTGATAAAGTACATATACGTATATTTCATTTTAGTGTGACATATTTTTATATGCGTGACTTTCCTACATGTAATCTCTCCTGCTGCTGAAGTCAGCCGATCAAAAAATCCGTTTGACAGGACAGAATTTGTAGACACGTTTCATGCAGATCAGACCCTAAATACCCCTATCTTCTTTTAACGGAAGGGTAGGCACCCTCTCCTACTCCATTGTACAATCATGTTTTAAAATTAAATTTAAAAACAAAACAAAATTATAAAGTACATGAAATAAACCTGTGGAACGCATGTTCATTCGTCAATGGACTTTGCAAATATACTCCCATATACAAGCAACATAATATTAGCCACATTCCTATAAATTTACACGTATTAAAAAACGAAGATAATTATGGGGTGTGGTATGTTATTATATAAATACTGCATGTAGTTGAGGGTAACATTGAGAATTTTCACCCCAAGAAAACCATTGTCAACCGAGGCGAGGTTGACAATATTTTTCGAGGGGTATAAATTCTCAAAGTTACCCTGAACTACATGCAGTATTTATGATATTATTATACTGAATGTTTTATACAAATACAAATAAAGATGAAGCAAGCGCGCATAGATTCCGCGCAGTCAATATTTTTTTTTAATATCACCCCTCGTCAAACAATGTTGACTGTTGATTTGTTCTATCGCGCTGGAGGGCGTGGGTTCGTCATTCAAAGGTTAACATAATTAAATTCAAGTAATTTACATGAAAGTATAATATGAAAAAAATATGCTTATAAAGTTACATATTAATCAATATAGCTAGTATATAATAAGGTTTGCCATTCTTTCTGATATTTGTAGATGTATATGGTTTCAAGTGCTACTTCGGACACCAGCGATTAGACCTTTCTTCTGTTGTGTACATCCAGTACGAAGGGGACCCCATTCTTTGTGATGAAATCTTTTTTCTTGGACAGGATGCAACCAATGGAAACAAATACCAGCTCTGTCTAACGCCTGTTTATTACCACGATCCGTACTGTGAGATTTTCGTAGAGTACAAATCCTACCTTACCGGCCAAATTCTTCAGGTCAGGCTCACTCTTTACTTGCATCATCGTGCATCGTTCGTAAAATTTTGAACATTTTCAGCTTCTTCTCATAAACCGCTGGAACCAATTTTTACCAAATTTGGTAAATAGCATCAATGGGTTAAGGGAAAAATAAATTAATTATTAATTTTATGGTCTCTCCCATCCTGGGGCCTGATGGGTGTTAGGCCAAATAAAAAAATATGTGTGGTTCCGGTTACCCGACCTTCCCTATTTTATACCCCCGACCCAAACCTTTTTTTGGCAATTTTCATATTTTTTCTGCAATTTTCCCCGATTTCCATCAATGGCTCCAGTTTAAGTTTTAGTTTCAGCAATGACGGCCTCCTTGCAAAACGTAGTGCAAGTGTTTAATAGTGTTAAATCCAAAGCAAGCTGGCATGTAGGTGTCCCCTACCAATATTGACTAGTATATTATCACACCACATCTAAATGCCATTTGCAAAGCAGTTATAGGTATTATTTAGAAAAAATTAAGAAAATCATTTTGTTAAAAAAAAAAAAAAAAAAATTCCCTACCTACCTACCCTAATTTTTTGGAAGTGTAACCGGAACCACACATATTTTTTTGTTTGGCCTTACCAAATTACCAAAAGCCATCAAAATTAATGCAATCTTCAAAAGTAGTCAAATTGTTGGTATGATTATGATAAGCATTGAGCCCTCTACCAAAATTTTGAATTTCATGGCCCCAGGATCAGGGGTTCTGGGGTTAGGGCGGGACTCTATAGGTCATACTAGTATACTGAAAATACTCTTTTAAAAAATCTCTCTCCGTGTATATTTTGCAGACAAACTAAGTGCACGGTTATAATGAGCAACGGCGCCTCTTCCAAATTAGTGAAATTCATAGTCCCTGGCTCAGTGGCTCCCTTGGCAGCCTAGGGCTGGGCCCTATTGATAGAAAATGGCAACTCAAATAGAGGTTTCTGGTGTTAGGACGGGGCTTTATTGATAATATAGTGAAAATGCATTAATTCTTTGAAAATCCTCTCTGCTTTTCTGCATAAAGCAGGCAAACCAAGTATACACAGTTGTAATAAACAAGAATGATGTTTACGAAATTTGTGATATTTATGATACTGGGTCAGGGGTCATGGTGTTTGGGCAGGGATCTAGTCTGTGTTGATCATGTTGGGACATTTTTGCTCTACTTTCAGACAAATTCCCCTTTTATTATACACCTATGATAACTTATCACCGTGTATAATGGAATTAATGGATACATCGAATAAAACGATTATGCAAGAATTTTTAATGTATAATAAAAAGTATATTTTTAAATGGTCAGAAATAGACTTGTAAATAATAAATATATGTAAATAAACATTAGACAAAATATAGTACAATTAATATCTTCCGAGCATGAAGTGCAAGGTCATCATGCTCTTCTTTGAAGTCGATATATATTTTGATCAACCTCATACACGTAAAAGGGCTAATTTGCATAATTTCTAATTAATAATCGTTTCTTTCATTTCCCGTTGTAGACGTTAAGATGTAAGGACAACAACACAAACACCTGGTGTTCAGAAGAAACTGACAACTTATCTGTTAGAATTAAGATGGAGTCGTTTGTTCGACAAAGGACTGAAGCTCGGGTCAAAATGAGACTCGAGGTCAAGCCAAAAACATACAGAGGTATCTTTTTGCATTTCCCCATCATCTTTTGCGGTGGTCGGTATGGAACATGACAGGAGATAGTTCTTGATTTTAAAATTCGTAGCGTTTAATTCGTAGACTTTAAGGAAAATAAAAATCATGACCATGAAATAAAATTTATTGCGACGATTTTTTTTATATACGTGTTTAAGCTAGGTGGTTCTGACCCCTGCAGAAATTTAATAAAGGTCTTCAGACACTGGAGTCCGTCCACTCCAAACCTCAGCTAAATGCACAATATGCTTTGTCAGTGTCATTTAAGGTAATGTTTTTTTTAAGATGGCAACATGTACAAGTTTTTGTTTATCGATAAACACCCTTCTCACTTTCAATGAAAATACAACACATGCTTATTCTTGTACAGTACATACGTTTTCGTCAGTCTAACATTAACACCCCCCCCACCCACCCACACACACACAAACACACACACGTACACAACTTGAAATTCTTAATCTACCTCATTAAAACCCAGTATCATCCAGCAGATATTTTCTTCATGTATAATCTGTGTATATTATTATACATGTATATGGTTTACTGTTATAAATGTTTATTTACTGTTGTAAGTGTAGTTGAAAAAAAGCTTGACCTTTCCGGCCCTTTGGGCATAAAGTCTAACGCATCACTGTATATACAATGATACATTTTTTTTTTATAAAAGCCCAAATATCGTTAATGACCTTTTCAAAAGAAAAGCCACGACAAATAAAATACACAAAAAATATGAAATAAATTTTCATACATGTATTCTTTTTTAAAACCGAGCATTACCTGATTTCAGTAATTATCGAAAAGCTATACGTATTTGTAATGTATTTTTATTCAAATAAATTTTAACTGAAAAATTCAAATCCAGCGATATTCAATCTTCTTATACCACTGGAGTCTATTGTATGTCTAATGTTTCATCTTTACATGCAGCTGAAAAATACAAAATATATTCTCTAGGTAAATCATAAAAAAGAAGGATTTTAAAACTTATAAAAAAGAGAAAAAAAAACAACGATATTTTAGATTAGTGTCAATAAAGATTTTTTTTTTGCAGTTGAGGTCGACGAAGATCAGAGTTATAATTTGGCGCCATTATTTGTTATTCTTGGAATATTCATGTTGCAAGTTTTCGTGTTTCTTGTCATTTTTGGATTTGTCAAGCGGACTGCAAGGCAAGCCCGACATTCGGTAGGTAGTATACTTTGTTCCCAACGTAAATGAACTAAACTTATTTAAAAAAATTATGACAAACTGTGAAATGATTTTTTTTATCTCAATTTGCATCTAAAACGTTTAAAATAATATGTATTAAGAGCTTTATATTAATTGCAATATGATTTTTTATGTATATTACAAATTATCTGCATGTTTTCATGCTTAAAATATATGTTTTTGTTGAAGATGATAGGACATGTAAATATGGAAAATCCTATAGGACATTTGGAGCAACCTCCTAACTACTATGAGGTTATGCAGACTCACCAAAGTCTTCCAGGGCCACCTAAGTATTCCGACGTGGTTAATACAAATCCAATACCACCGCCTGATGGATGAAGAAGCTACAACAAAACTTGAATCAAATGTGCCAAGGGGGTTTTGCAAGAGAGATCTCCAGACTGACCAGTGTTCTGTGATTTTCTACAGAATCTTGTAGAATAACGATGAATTACAGCGCATATTTGGAATAATGTTACTTAATTACATAGTCTGTATTATATTTACTGTACATTGTTGTTAATCTACCGTCTTCTATTGCTGAGTGATTCCTGTTTAGAAGTTGATTGAATCTATATAAGGCCATTCCAAGTTTTTTCTATGTTTAGCGTCCACCTATCTTTCTAAAACCTATCTACCTATTCGCATAAAACACGCAAACCAAAAAGTAAAACACAAGACTATAAGAAAATGTTGTTTTTGTTTTTTTTGGACATTGGGAAAATTATAATGTATAAAGGTGTAAATATTGAGGTAATCTAGGTACGTTTCAACATAGAGTACATGGCATTTACCCTCAGGAAAAATGTTCAAATGCAATGGAGTATTGGTCAACAGAAATCACTGTTAATGTATGTGGGGGCAAAAACATGGAAATACAGTGTAATGTGCTCATTGAATTTATCATGGCCTTTTTTGAGAATGTTTGATTCGACTACAAATTGAGTAATACACTGTAGATTTCAATATATTCCGTTTTTATTTTATCAAAAGGAAGATTACTCTAATTGCATGAAACTACCACAGAATCAGCACTCTTTAGTGTGCAGTGTATAGAGGGCTCTTAAGCTGTAGTTTTTTTTCTCAGCTTTTCATTATCACTATACCCAATCAACATTCCCATACCACAGAGGCATTCAACTATTCAAGTTGCAGTCTTACAAATGACTTGTACACGAGGGAAGGAATTTGTCGTATTTAAGTTCAGTTGTATTTGTTTCAAAAAGAGACATTTTTTGTAGGCATTATCCAGTAAACTTTCGATATACCGTGATCAATTAGTATCATATGAAAATACAGTCAACCCTCGTTAACTCGAACTTGAGGGGACCAAGATTAAAGATATCCGATGATTCAAGATAACGAGAATTAAAACATAAAAAGACTACCTTCGACTAACCCCTGGTATTCGAGATATCAGTGTTGAGATAACAAACTTCATCTGTATTTACTCCTAGGTGTTTATGTAGAGAAACAATTTATACACGTAATTGAAATTGCTGGAAAAGGAACTTATGATACTCAATGTTCATCTTTGCTAAAAATTTAATTTACTGATTCAGTTAAAGAGGGGTTGAATTTCAGTTGCATTAATATATTGGATTAAAATCTTTATTTCGTTACCTTCAATGATTTTCATTCTATAAAATAAATGCAGCTAAGAATTGTCATCAGCAAAAAGTCTGCATAAAACATATTTCCAGCGACATCGATCATTAACGTAAATTAAAAACAAAGGTGGCCCTTAAACCGCGCCTTGAGGAACACCAGTATGTAATGGTTTAGGTGATGATAATCAGTTTCGATAAAAAAACCTCTTTGACATCAACATTAATGCTATGAGTTTTAAGTTTAAATAAGATACCTCTATGCTTTGCACGATCATGTATGCTTTTGAAAGGTCACAATTACCCGTCATCAACAGCTTTACATGTAACAATATCGTCATATATTTCATTTAACTGATATACTGTTGAGGTGCCAGGCAAAAAAAACCACCTGATATTTACGAGATTATAAGAAAGATTATATGTTTGGGAGAATATTATTTAATTTTAAGTACATGTATACTAATTTTGTAAGGGAATCTTTCCAACCCCTAGTCAACATACATGTATGTTTCTTTTCATTTTAATCTCCCCTTTCTCTCTCTTTGGATTCATTCTATACTAATTCATGATCATTTTACATACTGCCTTTTTCAGTGTTTAAATAAATGTACTAAGTAATTATTATATGTATTTTGACCCTTTGAGAGAACGATTATAGGCATTTACGCCTGCTGTTCAATCAAATTCATGTGAATAAAATATTCTGAAAACAAAGATTATTGTCGTGAAAATGTTATAAATACTTACTTTGACTCGTTTCATGATTTTCCCCACACAGCTTAACAATGAAACTGTTCCATATAGTTTCACATCACTGAAGGATCCCCCTTTTTAAAAAGAGGATATTCATTAGCTATTTTCCATTGAGAGGGGAAAAACATTCATTTAAAGAACGATTAAGAAATTATCAAAGGGATTTCCCAATAGAAAACTTTGACAATTTTAACATCAAATGACTATTATCATGTTACTATTTAATGGCCTTGATTGTACATGTACTGTAAGAAGTATACAATATGAATAACTTCTTGTTCACTTATACATATATCACTAATTTCATTGTTACATATACATGCATCAGGAAATTCTGACCCACTATCATCAACGTATAATACAGAAGTAAAATAGGTATCAATAAAGTACATCCATATAGTTTTCTTTCCATCTATATAAGCGATGTTAGTATTATCAGTGTGGTTAATACTGTCATGCTGGGATTTCAGAGGTAACTTTGAATTTGAAAACATATGTTTCAATAATTTCCAATAACGTTTCGTGTTGTTTTTACTAGCATTCAATAGGTGTAGTGATTATATCTTCTATTGCTTATTTCTCCATTTTGTTGAACTTCTTATTGTTGACAAGTTTATAATACGTTAAAAAAAATTATGGAGAATGAAATTCATGCACTTTGCTGTACCCATCAAAAAATACTAAAGTAAACTATAGTTAACGATAGTATTTTTTTTTGTTAGGGATATACAATATAAACATGAATTCATTGTAAGTGTGTTCGTCGTATCTTTGTTTTACGGTGTAAGGAGATAGAGACTCGGTATTTTTGTCTTTATGATGGTTCTCGAAACCATTTTTTAGATAAAATTTTAAAACATGTTCAAGTAAGTCTCTTTTCCTTCTCTGTTTTTTCTCTGTGCTGCATGGCAATTCATATAGACTCAACTGCCAGGGGAGAATGACTGGGGAGTTGAAGTTTCTTACAAGTCAGCCCCCCCCCCCCTTCCCAATGTAATACATATTTTAGAATTTCATAATTGCAAGTAGGTTATACCGTCATTTATGATTTAGATTTAAAATGCTACTTATAGTGAGGTGTAAAAATACAATTGAAAGAAGTTAAAAACAATCATGACATTGAAAAATAGTATAAACCTGCCAACTTCAATCAGTACATAACACCATTTAATTATGTAGAAAATGTTTAGATGGATAAATTATTCATCCTTATTTTTATTTCATAACGTATTGATAGACATAAAAATTTGTAAGGCATCTATAGCTGAATATAAAAGCATTGATTTATTAGGATAACACATAATGTGAAATGTGTGGTGTTCTGCGTAATCTTATAAAGGATATACTAACTGAACTGAATTCTATTAATTTTGAATTTTGTAAAAAAAAAAAAAAAAAAAAAAAAAAAAAAAATTGCCTGTGTCAGGTTCATGAACTACATTTTACATTGTAGGATGTGA